TGTGCTTTGCTAAGCTTATTCTAAGTAGGTGCTTTAGACCACTGAGCCATCTCACCAGCCCCAGTACATAAAATTCTGATAAGCCTGGAGAATGAACTACTAGGGCCAGCCAGATAGCTCAGCAAATTAAAGTGCCTGCTTAGGCAGACGCAGGCCCCAGGGTACAATCCCTGCATGCCTTACAGGCCCTGCCCCCAGGGCACACTGAGGTGGCAACTGAGACTGGGCATGGCAGTGCGGGCCTGTAATCCAGGGCTTGGGAGGCAAAAAACAGGAGAATCACTGAGTCTGATCTGTGTAGTGAGACCCTGTAGACCCTATACTAAAAATACACACACACAAATAATGAACTACTAAATGTAAAGCTTTAAAAAAAACTTTTCCAAAAGTTCTTTCTCTCTAACAACCAAGTGTGGCAGTGCCCTCCCCCACACCTGGTAAATACCCCGGTGACTGTGGCCCATGGGACATAGTGTCTTTACACACTGCTGGGCTGGCTGGTCACAGTGCTGCATGTTTGTCTTACTAAGGTTGGCTTCTTCAAACGGAACCTGAAGGAAAAGATGGAGGCTGACGGAGGTGTCCCCAATGGGATCCTTAGAGAAGACGCTGGGCCTTCGGTGGCATCTGGGGAGGAGGCCATGGATCTGGACTGTCTGGAGCCCCTCCAGGGTGAAGAGGCTCAGGATGGAGACGTCAGGAGCTGAGGCCCAGACCTGAGGCAGGGGGCCCAGGAAGGACTTGAGACGCTCGAGGCCCGTCAGCTTCACCGTGCACCTTGCTGTGTGTCCTCGGGCAAGTCACTGTCCCCAGCCTCAGCTTCCCTGCCTTGAGCACAGATCTCCCTCCTGCTGTGTCCTCTGCTGAGGGATGGCAGCAGGGCCACAGCGGTGACACTTTGGCATCATCAGAGGGAAAGCCTCCCGCCAGCCTGCCTTGGTTTGCTCCCCAGACGAGAATATCCGATCAAACTTGGCAAAGCTGAAGCGTCAGGACCCAGTGATGCTCGCTGCCCTGCAACGTCCGGATCCCTCAAGCTCCCTGAAGCTGCCCAGGAATTCTCTCCGGCCTGGAGTCCAGTTCTGCATTCTGCTGTGGGATTCAAGGCCAATCCATGTCACTGTGCTGGGCTCTGGATGCCCTTTGACCTGAGACCAAATTTCTTACTAAATCTTCCATGGCCTGCAGACCTGCAGCTTTCCCTCCCTCCCCCAACCCCTCGAGAAGCCCTGACCACCAGGCTCCAGCGACTCCGGCCTTGCAGATGCCCAGCTCCTGCCTGTCTTGCTGCGTTCACCGTAGCGGCCCCCCGTCCTTACGCCGCTCAGCATTCACATCATGGTCCACCCCCCACCCAGTGCAGCTGGGTTCCAGCATTTTCCATACTTGAAGCCTGCACTTGGCACTTGGCCCCAAGGTTGTACTTGTACAGTGTTTAATGATTTATTTAACTTCTCTCTCTCAAGCAGTGCACTCCATAAGGGTAGGGACTGCATCCCTCTCCCATGTGCATTGGAATCCCTGATGCCATCCCAGAGCCGGACAGTAGGTGCTGGACACAGGGTCACTGAATAGATGACCGAGTCATGGGAAGATACAGAAAGCGTGGCCAGGCCCCCGGCTTGACAGCCTCTCCCCACCTCCTTCCTGTCCTACGCAGTGGCCCCAGAGACAGAGTTCAAGGTGGGAATGAGTCTGTTCACTTAGAGCCCAGAACCAAGCACAGTGCCTGTACATACTTATCCAATAAATACAAAACACAGTCCAGTTTTGTGATGTTCTTGTGCTACTGCAACACTGTGAGC